ACTACTGTATCTTACTAAACACGCATAGCCTCTTCTGAGCAGCAATTGTTAGGGCATGAATTTACAGGAAATTCTTCTTATTTATATACCTTTGGCTCTTCTTACGGTGTTTGTCAGCCATAAGAAGTTCTGCAGAAAATTATTTCTTTCAGACATAGTCTGTCCAAAATTCTGTTCAGAGTTATTGTTATTTTGAGTTGTCACCAGTGCCTTGGAAGTAAACTTTGGAATAATTAACCTTGAATTCATGTGGCTTGCTGCGGGCTCAAGCCATTCACAAGCTCAACTTGAACATAAATGCGCTGATAACAACTTTAGAATCCTCACACTTAAATTTTGGTTTCAGCCATAGAAGGTAGGTAAATTTTATTGATAAACAAAGAAAAGATTTAGAGTACTTTTTGCAAATGTTATTAAGATGATATGGCATTTTCTTGGATTGAGTCTGAAGAAACAAAAACTATGAAATACTGTAAGCCTAAAGGCTAAGAAGACTCCTAAAGTGTCCTATCTGTATCACTGTCTCTAGAAACTGAGTTCACTCACAATGTCAGGCAGACATTATAATGTTTAAAAAACTGTTTTCATCATTTGTTTTATCATTAGAGCTGGAAAAGTGAAAAAGACTGCAAAAAAATAAATAAAGACAGTGATTAAACTGAAGAGATAATTTTCTTTAGGCTATGGGTGAGAAATTTAGTGGCAAGATTAGACATATAAAAAGAGAGGAGAATTCTATCTTAAGATTCTAGATTGACAGATTTAAATAGATAAAGAAACCTCCAGTTTTAACTCTTTTTCAAAAAGAGATGAGAAAAATGCACTGCTAGATCTCATCTGATAATAGATCTGAAACAGGTGAAAACAAAATAACAGGGAAAAGAAGCAGCACTAGACAGGTCTCTGTAATGATTATCCCAGAGACAGACAAGAGTCAAAAAATTATTGCAAGTTGTCCTTTTAAAGTAGTATTTAGAGATCCTGTAGTAAGGATCACTGGGAAAACGCCTCTCATAGATTCAGATAGCAATGTGAAAACGTGAATAGGAAAACTATGTTAAAAATAGGATACAAGATGGCTACTAAGATGGGCAAAAGTACTCAACTAATTTCTGAGACACTCAGCTACCATAGTTTTTTTTAGGTGAAGATAGTGGAATTGCCTGATTGTGCCCTGAGGAAAGTGCTCCAGAAATTTAAAGAAGTGGGATGTTAATGAAAGGCATAGACAAGATGAGGCATACTTTAGAGAACACAGAAAGGACCATGATAGATTGAGTCCAGGTTTGGGTTAGATATTAGTCAAATAACAAAGTGTTTCTGGGGTAGGATTGTTCTCTCAGGGAAGTGCAAGTAGACACAATTGAACAATGACTGATTCTGGCAGATACAGAATGCACCTATTTTTTATAATGAAGGAATGTGCTAAAAAATTCCAGAGGAAGATGTCAGCAAAACAAACATCTGGGCCAGGAAGCAAAGGGAGAGGGAAGGGAAAGCAGGCGCTCAATGACTGCAAAACCTCAACTAACCGTGCACGTGGTAGCAAAGAAAAATAACAGACTTAGAAGCAAGTTACACTGTTAGGAATATAATGGAGCTTCCTACAGGGAGGCAGGGAACACAGAGAACTGAAATTTCAGAAGCACACATGAGGGACCTCCTGATGAGATAACAGCAGATTCCTTAACCCTACACTCTCCTCAAAGCTTCTAATTTTCCTGGCACTTAGTATTATTAGTTTCCCTTCACTCTCTTCTAATAGGTGTGTAGTGGTATCTCCATAAAGTTTTAACTTGTATTTCAGTCATGGTTAGTGACACTGAGCTTATTTCATATCCATATATTTTTGTTGATGATGTTTCTGTTCAATTCTGTGGCTTGCTTTTTCATTTTCTCAATGTACCTTTAGAAGAAAAGTTTTAAATGTTTATGAAATCTATCGTTTTTATTATAGATCATGACCTTGGCGTTATATATAAGAATGCCTTACTTATTCCAAAATCACAAAGATTTCCTTTGTGTTTAAGTTTTTTGTTGTTGCTGTTGTTTTAGGTTTATAGCTTTTAGTTTCAGATTATAGGTCCATATTATTAGTATGCAGTTTTAGGTATTATCCTTAGGTTCATGAGATGGATTGAGATCTGGTTAAGATTTATTTTTGTATGTAGGGTTGTCCCATTTTTCCAGCACTATTTTTTGAAAAAACTCTCTTTCCACCAATTATTTGCTTTTATAATTTTGTTTTAAATCAGTGGACTGCATATGTTTGAATCTGTTTCTGGACATTCTATTCTGTTCCACTGACCTATGGCAGTGATATTTCACCAGTACCATACTGTCTTGATTACTGCAGCTTTATAGCAAATTTTGAGATCAGATAATGTTAGTTGTCAAGCTTTGTTTTTCTTTTCCACTTTGTTTGACTATTTAACATCCTTTCCTTTCCATATGAATTTTAGAGCCAGCTTGTTGACTTCAATGAAAAAATATCTGTGGATATTTTGTTTGGAATTCCAAAAAATCTGTAGACAGATTCGTGGGGAATAGAAACCTATGCTACAGTGAGTCTTCCAATTAATCTTCGTATTGCTTTCAATTTATTTAGATCTTTGAATTCTTTTTCAGCGTTTTGTCATTTTCATCATCACATTCAGTACATGTTCTGTTAGATGTATATTTAAGTATTTCATTTTTGAAGTAACTAAAAATTATACTGGTGTTAAAAATAGCTGCCTTCAAATAATTTTAAACTGCTTCATGTGCTATACAAGAGCTTTATAACAATATATTCCGAAATTCTTCCTCTCATCCAATATGTTACTCTTCTCATGTATATAACTTTTCATAGTCTATAAATTCAAATACATTGTTAAATTATTTTTTTATCTTTAGAAAACCAATTATTTTTAGGGCAACTAAAATGAGAACAAAACACACATATTTATCTAAATTTTAACCATTTCTATAAATAGTTTTTGTGTATGCATGTGTGTGTAGAATTGTGTTTCTGCTTGATATCAGATAGAAGAAACATTTTTTATATTTTTTAATACAGATTTGTTGGTAATAAATTATTTTAGAATTTGCTAGTCTGAATAAGTCTCTTCTTTCATTTTACAAGCACATTTTCAGTGGGTATAAAATTTAGTTTGACAAATTTTATCTTTCAGCACCTTAAAAATGCCAATTTTTATCTTCTTTCTTACAAAGTTTCTGGCAAAATCTGCTGTAACACTTATTTTTGTTCTCTCCATAGAATGCGTTTTGTTTCTAGCTTCTTTCATGATTTTTCTATTTCTCTTTCACTGTACCCAGTTTGACTATGAAGTGTTTAGGACTGTGCTTGTGTGTGTGTGTGTGTGTGTGTGTGTGTGTATGCATGCGTGCGCACACGTGTTCGTGTGTATGTATGTAATAGTTATATTGCTTTAGGTTCTGAGTTTTTCAAATTTGGAATTTGACTTAGTTCATTATTTTTAGAAAATTATTGACCACTTTTTGGATATTTTATCTTTCCAATTCTCTGTCTCTTCTTCTGTTATTCCAATTAAAAAAAAAAAAAAAAGCAAACAGTTTCTATCATTCACAGAGCTCTGGCACAGAAAGCCAGCACTCACATTTTGTCTCACCTTTGAGGTCCTATCTGTTCTTAAAGTTTGAGCTGGCTGGGTGCGGTGGCTCACACCTGTAATCCCAGCACTTTGGGAGGCTGCGGTAGGTGGATCACGAGGTCAGGAGTTCAAGATCAGCCTGGCCAAGATGGTGAAACCCCATCTGTACTAAAAAATATAAAAATTAGCCAGGCATGGTGGTGGGCACCTGTAATCCCAGCTACTCGGGAGGCTGAAGCAGAGAATTGCTTGAACCTGGGAACTTGAGGTTGCAGTGAGCCAAGATCTCGTCACTGCACTCCAGCCTGAGTGACAGAATGAGACTCTGTCTCAAAGGAAAAAAAAAAAAGTTTGAGCTAATTGTGCTGCATCCTCAGCTCATTAATAGGTTCAAGAAGAGTAATAATTTTGTAGATTATGTGATTTTCCATGTTGTTATGATAACAACCCTGTTTCTTTCTGTATACATATTAATCATAAAATGAGAGTGATAACTACAGTATTATACTTTCTTGTATAGACCCTTCAGAGATACCATTGCATATATATCATCATTTTATTTAAATCAGTGTTTCAGTTTTAACTTCCTATAATCATGCAAATATTATTCATAGCAGGATGAATATTATTTTCGGAATATATATCTTTCTTATGCAATATTTTAGGTTTTTTAGGAGCTCAGAGCTTCCTTATTTTTACTTTGCTTGCTTTTATTTTATATATAACTAATTAATCTACAGACTGTCAGACAGAAAAGTAAATATAATCACAAAATAGTGATATGCTTATCATCTGGCTCTTTGAAGGCAAAGGGGTAGCACTGATTGTAGTGCTTGTTAATTTACATAGTGTAGATACTCTTGCCATGGAAAATTTCAAATTATTAATATTTTAAAAGGGGATGGTGATAGCTTTAAATATTTAACCATTGACTCTTAAGAATCAGTATGAACTAGTATCTTATACTGCTCAGGTTTCCATAACAAAATACCGTAGATTAAGTGGCTTCAACAACAGAAATTTATTTCTGACAATTCTGAAGGTTTAAAAAGTCTCAGGTCCAAGTCTGGCAGGGTTTAATTTCTGGTGAGGACTCTCTTTCTAGCTCTCAGATGGGCAGGCTTCTCAATGCATCCTCACAAGGCTTTTCCTCTGAATGTGGGGAAAGAAGAGCAATCGCTCTCATTTCTCCTTTGATAAGGACACTAATCCTATCAGATCAGGTCCCACCCTTATGACCTAATCTAATATTGTCTCTTTATATCCTTTATATCCAAATACAGTCACATTGGGGATTAGAGTTTCAATGTGAATTTTGTCGGGACAAAAATTCAGTCCATAGCAACTGGCTTCAGCACACCACTGACAGCAGTAATATGAAAGTTTTATATTTTTCCTTGAAGTCCTGTCATTTTGAACCTACCACTCTCCTGCTTGAAAGTGGAATAGATACTCCCTAGCACTGTTGAACTGTCATCTTCAGGCCCATTCTTCATGATCCTGAGATTCACCTGTTATGTTAGATTGCCTCTTCTTGGATCAGTGTCTTCTTCTTTCTTGATTTACTCTCAAAATTCAAGTTGTTTCCTGAGAAAGAAAGCAAGGGAGGCAATTTTTAAAGGACCGTTATTTTTATTCTACTTTGATACTTTAATGGGATGTTGCTGGATAGAGTTCTAGGCTGGAAATATTTTTCTTCGGAATTTCAGTAACACCTTTGTTTTATGGTTTTCAGTGTTGCTCTCCAAAAGTATGGTACTATTCTGATTTTAACTATTTTGTTTGTCACATTATTTTTTTCCTAGAAGCTTTTAGAATATACTTTTTATCAGCTACATTCTCATATTTCATGATGATGTACGTAACAGGCCTTGAGTTGTGTGAAAAAAGCCGACAAGGACAAACAAAACATGTAAAAAAATAAAAGCCACATAATTTCTTTTAACATGGAAAGTATGATTGTCCTAGAAAACAAGAGACACTAAAACCTGCTTTTTCCTTCTGAAAAGTTTATTATTAAGATAATAGACTAATTATTGAAATTTCATATTCTTAAATATTTTCATCCACTTATTCTTTGTTTACTTATTGGGATATATCTTTAACTTTATCTTGAATACCTTCTACAAAATATTTTTAAAGGCAAACTTTAAAATGTTAGATTTCCAGTGGCTCATTTTTATTCGCTGAATGTTGTACAGAGGTATATTGTGTCCTATTCTGGTTTATATGGGAGCAATGACATCTCATATTCCTGAGATGTATAAATAATTTTTCTGAAGTTGTTTCCCTCTCCGGCTTCATAATTTTTGTTTCCTCTAATTGTTTTTATTCTGTTTGTTTAGGTCTTTGTTTTGATGGTAGATAGTTCTCCTCAAATGTCAAATGATCTGTCACTCACTGTTTTCAAAATGCTATTTGTACTTTAAATGTATAAAATATAGATGACACAAACAAGTGGAAAATCACTCCACACTCATGGGTCAGAATAATCAATATTATTAAAATGATCATACTGCTCAAAGCAATCTTGAGATTCAATGCAATCCCTATCAAAATATTAAAATTGTTTTTTATATAATTATAATAAACAATTCTAAATTTCAAATGGAACAAAAAAAGAGCCCAAATAGCTAACAAAACCGTAAGCAAAAAGAACAAAGTGGGAGACATCACATTACCTAACCCCAGATTATACTACAATACTATACTAACCCAAAGAGCATGATACTGGTATGAATATAGACACATAGATCAATAGAACAGTATAGAAAGCCCAGAAATAAAGCCAAATATTTACAACCAACTGATCTATGACAAAGTTGACAAAACATACACAGGGGAAAGGACACATTTTTTTCAATAGATGGTGCTGGGAAAATTGGATTGCCATATACAAAAGAATGAAACTGGACCCCTATCTCTCACCATATACAAAAATCAACTCAAGATAATCAAAGACTTAAATATAAGACCTGAAACTATAAAAGTACTAGAAGAAAACCTAGGGAAATCTTTTCAGGACATTGGTTTAGGCAAATAATTCATGACTAACGCCTCAAAACCACGAACAAGAAAAACAAAAATAGACAAGTGGGACTTAATTAAACTAAAAACTTCTGCACAGTAAAATAAATAATCAACAGAATGAACAGACAACGGACAGAATGGGAAAAAATATTTGCAACCTATGCATCTGACAGGGAACTGATATCCAGAATTTACAAGAAACTCAAACAACAGCAACAACAAAAATAAATAACCCCATTAAAAAGTGGTCAAGGGACATGAGTAGACATGTTTTAAAAGAAGACATAAAAATGGTGAACAAACATATTAAAAAATAGTCATCATCACTAATCATTCAGAGAAATGTAAATTAAAGCCATGATGGGATGCCATCTTACACCAGTAAGAATGGCTATTACTAAAAAGTAAAAAAAAAAAAAAAAAAAAAAAAAAATCAAAAGATGGTGGCCAGGATGCAGAGGAAAGGCAATACGAATACCCTATTGGTGGGCATGTAAATTAGTATAACCTCTATGAAAAACAGTATGGCATAATATATATGTGTGTTTGTATACACACACACAATAGTATAGTATATGATTCAGCCATAAAAAATGAAATGATATCTTTTGCAGCAACATGAAGTGAGCTGAAGGCCATTATTTTAAGTGAAACAACTCAAAAACAAAGTCAAATATCACGTTATAACTTATAAGTGGATGCTAAATAATGTTTACACATGGACATAGAGTATGTAATAACGAACATTGGAGACTCAGAAAAGTGGGAGGGTGGGAAAGGGGAGAGAGATGATAAATTAATTCATAGGTACATGTACATTATTCTAGTAAAGGTACCCTAAAAGGCCAAGCTTCACTCTGTAATATAGCTAGGTAACAAAACTGCACTTATACACATTAAGTTCATACAAATAATATAAATAAATAGATGTTGAGGGTTTTGGCTTCAGGGTATGATTTCTTGTTACATATCTAATTTTGAGTCTTTTTTCATGGGATGATTATTTTTTCTAAATAAAATCCTGGAACTCAGACCTCAGAAACGATTACTTTAGATGCCATTCTTCTGAAATATGAGTTGAACAGAAGAAGGAACTTGGTGATCTTCCAATTACATAAATAGAATTTTAATATCTGCTTTTGATCTAGATTCTTCCTACTGCACCCCCATACCTGTGTCCTAATCACTAGAGTCCCTGCAATTCAATTTATTCAGAGTAAACTGTCAGGCTTCTTGATTTTGCAATCATTTCACAGGATAAACTTAAGTTTTAAAGAAGTTTTAAAAGGAGACTAATCTATTCGAACTGGATTGTTTACTTTTGGATTTTCCTCAGAAGCAGAAATGTGCAGTGAAAGTAGTGTTCCACCCCTTTGTCATTCCTCATCTAAGGAGCAGATCTGTGACTCAAACTCCAGTTTTGCCTTACAAAGACTTTGACTTTCCCAGAGTTGCTGTCTACACAATTTTGCTGTTCGTCTAGTCTATTGATGCAGGATATGAGCAAGGGTCCAAGCCTTAACAGCTGTACCAAATCCCACAAGGCATATAGGCAGATGTTGGAGTTGAAAAATAACGCAGCTTGAAGGAGAGAATAGAAAAAAAGTCTGAGAACAAACATCTTAGAATTACAAGCAAATTCTAGTTTTGTACTCATAATTTACAGGTTCCCCTCCCTTATCCCTCTACTCCACCAACACACACACACACACACACACACACACACACACAGTCAGTGACTTAATTGGTGCTGAAATTTGGAGATGATTTTTAAATGTTGCATGTAAAAGGGATTTCTATGGCCATTACAAGTCCTTGATAAAACTTTTCTGCTTTGTGACAAGCTGTGGATGTCACATTGCTTTGCCACCATTAGGCACATTAATTTCATGAGGCCAATAAGTTCACCCAAGTTCTACCTATTGATTTTCATAATCCTCATCACAAGATTTGTTGAATGCAGGACCATCACTACAAAAAGGAAGTCTTAATATGGATAACTATTATCTCAGCCAATAGTCTCTTCCTTATTTTGAAGTTTTCAAATATTTATACAGTGAAAATCCAGGATGTTTATAAGCATTCGTACTGCATTTGCTATCTTGGATAGGTTGTTCAAAAATGTTAAATCTTGATTTAGTCTTCTTCATCAAAGGGTAGTATCATTTGAAATATTGTTTATGTAGTTTTTAATTTATTACAGAATATTTTATACAGAAAGTGTCAAGGATGAAAGTCCCATAGGACCTTTCCTTTTTATTGCCTTTTTTATTTTTGTAGAGATGAGGTCTCACTATGTTGCCCAGGCTGGGATTGAACTCCTAGCCTGAAGCAATACTCTTTCCTTGGCCTCCCAAAGCATTAGGATTGCAGATGTGATCTGGAACACCCTACCAAGTCCTTTCTTCGATTGACTTTGACTACTCTCTACAATAGAGATTATTAAAGTTTATTGTTCAAAAACATGAGATAGCAGAGACTCGTCAACAGCATAGTGGAATGGGAAGTACTGGACCTTCATTTCCTTCACAAACACAATGATTTTACAACAATTCATGGACAGATTGCCTTTGTGAGTAATCAGCAACTAATTGAAAGTCTCCTGCTTCCTGGGGATTGGGAAGGGGGTGGTGCAAAAGCAGACTCAGTGAAGCCAGTAGAAGGATTGAGGACAACCTTTCACTAGAGACCTTGCCCCTGGTGCAATGCCATATAATCAGAAGGAGACTCCCTAGCTCCCAGCTTTACCCAGAAAAGCGAATGGGTTGGTTTGCAAATCCAGCTCTCTGAGGAGGTTCCTTAGAGGACTGGCTTTTGTCCTTTCAGCCTTGGAGTTCTGATGATCTAGCATAGTCTATCTACTCAGGGTAGAATGGAGGTAGCGGCTTGGACTGGCAAATGTCATTGATTTCTCTACCCTGCTCAGCAGAGAGCAAAAGGATAAAAAAAAAAAACCCTAGATTTTAACTTCCTCCTGGGATTGGAAAGAGTTGATCCGTGAGTCCAGCACCCCACTTTCCCTAGGGCATCTCCCAAAACTAACATGTGTCTCACTAGTCTTAAAAATCACATAGATCTAGCACCATCTGCCCAGGAAAGAATGGAGATAATGACTTGCATCAGTAAATGCTATATGACTCCCACCCTGGCTCAGTGCAGAGTGAATTAACAAAAACCACAGCTGCCTTCAGCTCCCTGAGGAGGAAAAGAGATAGTAAAGAATGTCAGAACATCTGTTTAGGCTGAGGGTGGTGATCTTCTGCTGTGTAAGTCCAGTCTGTCATGATTAGGAGAAGTTTCGCTTTGTCTAATCTACAGACACCAACACAGGGACTGAAAAAAAGAGAAAGAAAAAAGAAAGAAGAATAAAGAGCCACATATTTTCCAAATAAAGAGATTAATAAAAATTTCCAAAATGGACTCTATTAAAATGGAATTGTATAGTGTACCTAACAGAAAATCAGAAATAATTATCATAAAAATGTTCACAGAAATAATTGTCATAAGGATGTCAAGAGAACAATGCATGGACAAAGTGATAGTTTCAAGAAATAAAC